CCTGACCCCTGGGGTTACACCCAGAAAACCTGCTGGAGTTTGCAGTGCCACTTACCACCCAACCAACAGGGTTGAACAGCATTGTTTTTAGCTGGGCTGTATGGTCTGGGATTCCCAAGTCCCAAACACCTTTTAAGGGCTGAGATTTTAACACTGGAAAACTAGAAATTTCACCACTTTAACAAAACTGCGAAACAGCAGGCCCTGGGAGAGGACACTTATGGGGCCATTGTGGAAGAAGGCCTAATCCTCCTCCTACCTCCCCATAACCATTTTCAACAGATGCTAATTCTTGGATCTGGAAGGGTGACATCCAGGCCGTCTCAGCAAACTGTAAATGGTGAGCTAGAACACCAAAGAAAATGGCTTGAGCCATTTAGGCATTATCAAAATGACTCAAAGAGAAGAGAGAGGTTAAGTCACGTGATCATAGTCACACAGCTAGTGACTAGACAAACTGAACTTTGAATCCAGATTTGCATGACTTTCAAGTTATGCCTTTGTTCCAAGCTGTTACCTAGAAGGCAAGCAGAGCACCATGGGACCCTGATAGATAGCTGCTCTCCCCAAAGCAGTGGACACTGTGGGCTACGGCTACGTCTCCACCATCTGTTCACTTCTGGAGGCCTTCGCCAAGTGCCAAATGTCCCACCAGGTGGCTTCAACCTCCCAAAGTATTCCTGACACTCACAAGTTCAATTTTCAAATGAGAGCTGGACCCCAGTCACCACACTAAACAGATTCCACAGGAAGTTACTTAAAAGTCTAAGAAGCAGGGACAAAAAATGAAAACCCACTCAGGTGGAGGTAAGCTTACATTCCGAGCAGAGAGAGCTCAAGCCTCCTGCGTGGGCTGGAGTTTGCGTTTGTGTTTAATAACAACTTTGATCTCTCTGCCAGCGGCAGCGGTCATTGAGAAATCCTGACATAAAGAAGGTATCTGGGAGATAAAGTTCTGCAAGCGATGATTACTAGCACTTACGTTCTCTTTTTGTTGAAAGGAAGAATCCCAGATTGAACAGTGCATTGAATGATATGACAAGCAAGTACTTGATCCCTGTCCAGCTGGAGGGGGATTGTACCCATCAGCAGCTTTTTAGCTAAGGACGTCTTTATTTTTCCCTTCTTTGTCTGGGCCTCTCTAGTTCCTCCTTTTACTTCATGTCAGCACTATATAGTAGGTATGCCAAGTGGTTTTGAAATTTAAATTACAGTCTCTTTTTCAGATGTTATTGGAAAGAACATGTAATTTATAACCACGTGTTAGGAGTACAGGATGTTCATGGTCCACTGCCAATTTTTCTTTTGTAAAGTTAATAAAACTTTCATAAAACACTTATACACTTGTATATTTCATGGTAAAGATTTTTTTTTATCTCATAGGCTAATGTAAAGATTTATTAAAACCATTTTTTGTTAAGAGGAGTGTCAATAGTTTGCAGCTGAGTGTAATTTTGAATCCGTGGAAGATGACGGTCTGATGGAAAATGACAGTAACAGCTTTGTTGATTTAGCACTAAAAATAAAGGAGCCTTTCAAATGAGAGAATGCTCTAATATCCAGAGTGGGCTAGAACGCATGCAGGCCAGCGGAGGCGAGCTGGAGGAGCTGGCCACCAGCACTTCAGCCCCTGGCAAGAGCAGAGCAGCTCTGGATGAAGCCCAGGTGGGAGGGTGTACAGAGCTCCCTGGCCAGCATGGAGGGAGGGAGGAGCCTGAGGCATAGCTGAGGCCTACATCTACTTCTCGTAGCAGAAAATTCAGGGGATCTGCCTGCCCCCACAGGCACTGTTAGCCCTTCTAGCCTTCTCTGAGGCCCACTTTTTTCTGACTGTGATGAATTAGTCCCACCTGACACATACCCCTCTCCTGCCAACTTGTAATCTACATCTATCCCAAACTGGTCTTTACTAAAAAACTGTTTCAAGGAATCTCACTTAACTTTTTTCTGCATATAAACCCCAGCTCTTTTTAAAAGTTCTAGTTGGTTAATGGGTATGCACTCCTAAGTGGGGCTGGGGATCAGGATTGGGTTGGCTACAGAATTTAGTAATTTGCAGGAGTAGCTGGACCTCTCTGAACTTCTTTTATCTTCTCCAGGAAGATCATATGACAACTTGTACCTGCAGGCCCCTTCCTGAGACCATCCTGAGAGGATGTACATGAAAGGGCTTTGCAAAAGTGGCAGATACATAGAAACTTCATCCTGGATAGTATCCATGGTCTTCAGAAAGGGTGTGAGCAGATGGTCTCCTGCTTATGCAAAGACTCATTCTCTCAGATGGTGACACAGAGTAAGAATCAAAGTGTATATAAAGAGGAAGTGATGATTAGTAACTGTACCCTAGATCTTTGCATTAGTAAATCCTATGGCCCTTGTTTTATAGATAATGAAAGTGTTACTAAGAAAGGTAAAGTAATAAGTTCTTGATCATAAAACTAGTGAGGACAGCCAAGTTTCAAACCTAGACCGTTCTAACTGCAAAGTTTGTCTCTTCCCCCTTAGGACATTAGGAGCAGCAAGCCCTCTCGAGCGGTGGTGACCTGCTGCATGTCTACATGTGATCCCTCATTCACTGTCCATGTCACTCCTGGGAACTCATCGGCTTCTCAGGCAGGAGAGAAATGCTGTAAGGGTGACACAGTTCTGAGCAAGTGTTCTCCACCCCGGTCAAGTGTCACAATTAATGACAATTGTGACAAGAACCAGGGCATCCCTGGCTCAAGGCCGCTGTTTCACTGGAAGGCCCTCCAGTGACCCCTCATCCTATTCCCTGCCTAAGGCTAAGTCCTCACTGAGTTTTCTGCTTGAATGTTACTTTCCAGGCCTTAGTCGGGCCATCTCTGTGTACCCTTTCATATCATGTGGGATTTCCCATTGCTTTTCATAATTATAATTAAGTTTGGAAAACTATTTGTTCCCTACCTATGTTGCCTACTAGACTATAAGCTGCAGGAGGGGAGGAAGCGCAGCTGTATCATTCCTTGCTGAATCTTCCATTCCCAGAATAACACAGGACTGATCCTATCAACAATCTCCCACTGTGGCCACATGTCCTCTCCTTCCAGCCCAAAGCTTTGATGACTTCACACATTGGGTAGTTTGTGCCTGGCCCCTGTGTCATCTATGCAAGTGTCCCCAAGTCCAGTTAGGAGAGATTTGGGGGACAGCCTTCACCTTTGGACATCTGAAGGTGAAAGTGCAAACTCCCAGAGGATGAGAGGGAATGGATGTTACCCACAGCCTCGTCTGCTTCCACACCTCAACAACTCTGAGATGTGGAGGCAGAGATCTCCAGGCTGCTGGGAAAAAGGGTGGAAGAGAAATCGTAAGCATGGAACAAAAATTCCCAGAGGAATGAAGAGAAGACCTGTACACCATTTCTCTCACTGTCTGGATGGGCAAAGGCATAGCAGTTGGGAGCAACAAGGCCAACCGGAGCATAGACTGGAATTCAGGTGTGGAGGTCTGGTTAAGAACTTCTTTTCACAGGTGTAGAGGAGATCTGTGGTGCAACTGAGCATCCTTGGCTGGTACATAGGCTTGTTCCTTGCTGTTGCTGCATTCACAGCTATTTCTGTTTTTGAGTGAGGCAAGTGAAGTTGTTGCTGCTAGACTTAGAAAGTGCAGATTTGAGTCCTAAATAGAAGGGCCTGAGCCCTGGCCATGACTATGCCTCCTAAGGATATTCACACTACAGCCAGACTGAGGCCCTTGAGGGAAATTAGCTAGCTTCTCCTGGAGCTGCTTACCAAAAAGGAATGCCACCAGAGCTGGAAGGCCCACCCTCTATCCATCTATGGAGCTTGCCACAGTTTTTCAGAGTAGACAAGAGTTCAGGTTCTGCAGCAAGACAGACCTTCAACTGATTACCTTTGCCATCCTGGTGAAATAATGAAACATCTCCAAACCCCAGTTATAATGATAAACCGGACTGCATCTGTGGTCATGTGACCTGTATCTACACGGTCCCATGCTTGGGGTCCCTATGGCTTGGCTTAATGCTCTGCTCTTACTGTGTTCAAATTCTTGAGTATTTTTCTGTAAGATAGAGCACTATAACTACATTTTGCCATAGGCCTTGCAAATTATGTAGCTGGTCCTTATGAAGTAAATAGTTATTGCAAGACTATTTACTCAGGGTAAGGAGCAATGACATAAGGCAGGGCAATAGCTGGTACACATTCAGAGATCCAATATTATAGAATAATTAAGAAATAACTGTGTCCTGGCTTATCTACTAAGTACTTGCTCTCTCCATGTTTTTGGCAAGTTACTGATGAGAAAGGACATCTCTAAGCTTCAAAGACAAGCAAGAACAGGACCCTTTTAAACCTTAAATAGGATTCAGACTGAATGAAGAACCAAGACCTTCCCTAGATTCATGGCACATTTTTCCAGGGACTGCATGAGGTGTGAAGGAAATGTATAGGCAGCAGGCTACAGAGATGTGACGAGAGATGATAGGCTCTAATAGAATGTTCATGCTCTCTTCTCCTTGAGGCCTCAGTGTCCAGTACCAATGCCATCCCGTGGCACCCACAGGTCTGATGTTGCCACGTCAGGCTAGTTGCTCATCTGTGGCTCTCGTGTCTGGAGATAGTCGCTTCCAAGTTAGGGACATACCAGGTGACAGAAACAGGCAACAGCAAACTTGGCTTCACTCCTCATTTGCCTGGTTGATAATCTAGAAGTTGCCTTCTCCATCTACGCCTTCTACTGTAGAACCTACAGCCACATTGTTGACATTTTTCTTCACTACCAATCTCTCCCCAGCTTATTATTTTATGCCCAGTGCTGGAATGTCTTTGTCTACTTGATTCTGAGAAAATCCTCACCATCCCAGCCCCTTTGGTGCAACCTCTAGAAAGCTGAAATTGTGCTAAAATGAAGCATTTTCCATCATATTTGACCAAACTGTTTCTGAACCACTTTCTTTATTCACAAGACAGCACATAACATACATATCATATAACTTGCTGAACCTAGAGTTTCTCAGGAAATGCCACATAGTTTTCAGTGGAGGGAGGGGCCAGGAGTAACAGGATGAGGGCTCTTTAACTGCCCTCTTTCAAATTGCTAATTTGAAAATCCAGAGACACTTAGCAGGTACCCACAGAGCTAGATTTTTGAAAAGAAGGGGTATCTGAAATTCAGCCCAGTGCTCTTTCTTTCTGCTGCAATGTGTTGTCTCTATTGAAAGATTCTCCTTCCCCAAACATAGAGTACAACAATCCCATTGAAAGCACTGCCAATGATAAACTATGCACGGACAAATAACAACAGTGACAAAACCGCGTACAGAGACAAGGCAGTCTGTGTCGAAGAAGAAAGAGAAAAATAAATGAAATTAACAGTGGGAGACAAAAACAGAGGAAAACCCAGCAATTAGATTAATCATAGACTTCCAGGAAATTGGCCCAAATTTCTTTAAAATCTTGTTGATTGTTATTCAGATTGAAGGGTTCCCTGCAAGATTAGCCAGAGCCCACCAAGCCTGCATACCAATCTGCTGCATCTCATGCAAGAGCTGCTCGGATGCCAGGCTGTGTCCTTGCTACCCGTGAATCACCTGTGCAGGGGTGAGGTCCAGTACACGGCATCCAGTCCTAGAGGTCAGGAGGTGGCAATTTTAGTTTAGGTTGCCTGGCCCATTAACTTTGGGAATTGGGACGAATCATCTCAACTTTCTGGAACTCAGTTTGCACAACTGTTAAATGGGCAATTCTGACTTCCTTTCTCATGCCAGTGAGTTTTGAGGGGTTGAAGAGAGAATATAGATGTGGAAATACTTGGACTGGTTGAGAGTGCTTTGCAAGCAGAAGATTTCAGAGTATTTTCGGGGCCATGAAAAAAATAGGATATCTCCCAAGGTTCAACTATGGCCTGTCCAAGTCCTGAGGTGCAGAAAGCATCGAGATGATAGACCTAGTTCAGTTTCTACGGAAATATTCTAAAGCCTTCAGACTCAGTAAAGCTCCTAGTACATTTTGACCCAAATACTACTCCTTTTATGATCTGCATTTAAAGAAAATTGAATGACCTATCTCTGGATTTATTAATGCTTAAACCATTAGCATCTTGGCTCCTGAAGGCTCCTGGGTTGCCAGAAAGATGTCAGAGCTTCCAAATGCCTGGAAGTTGCCCTTCACCCAGGGTGAAATAATCCAAGCAGAAAATAGTTTGGGTTTGGTTTGAAAGATTGAATGCCTGAGTTCTTCTTAGGATTGAACCTTCAACTACAACCATTTTTGGCTCAAAGTTTAAAAAAAAAAAGCTACTGGCTGCCTACTAGGTGCTAGGCTCTGTGCTAAGCGCTTTATATACCTTATTTAAGTTAATCCTTGTAACAACCTGATATGATAAATCCAGTTAACATTCCTATTTTAAAAAGGTAAAAAGCAGGTCAACCTTCAGGAATTACGGAAATGATTTGGACCCAGTTTTCCCTTGGCTTTATCCTTGAATCTGTAAATGATATGAAAAGAATATATTATCTGAGGACCGAAGAAGACCACGACAACCATGTAACATCACATTTCTACAAATATGTGTGCGCTAGACTTGGCAGATGTCAGCGTGTGTCCATCAGATAAATTGCAGGGAAGGGGGATTAAGTAGGCTTTTTTACTGCAAGACTTCTCAGGGCCTTAGAAGGGACGTTCGCTGTGACTGTCTGGGAGGGAAATGATGCACCCAGCACTCTCCTGTCTTATTTGGTAACAGAAGATCTTTTCCCAAAGAATCCTAATATCCTCCAGGAAGTCATTACGAAAATGTCAATCTTTGACAATGAGGAAAGTTACCAAGGCTCAGTCACTCAAAGAGACTTGCGCCCGATTCCAAGATGTTAACTGTGGAGTGAAGACAGCCCCCCAGATATCCAGGCCTAGGATGGCTTTGTGTTCCACTACAACGAAGGCAGTGGACAAAAGCAGCAGCAGCAGTACAACACAACAACACTGCACCACTACAACAAAGGTAGGTATGCAGGTGGCCAACTGTGGGCCTCCACGGATCTGAGACTCACAAGGGCCACACACACAAGCTCACAGATCACAGATTTCATATTTGAAGAATCAAATCATCACTGACCCTGTGAGCTAGGAAACAGGACTCTGTTAATAAGCTTTTGTGCTTGAAGGAACTGTATTCATTGAAATGCTCCAGATAAACAGAATTAATGGGATATGTGAGGAGACTGTTTTCCGTCAGGTAACTGTCTCATGCTATTGTGGTGGTTGACAAGCCCCAAATTTTCTGGCTAGTCCGGGACATGAAAGGCCGAGCAAAGAGTTGATACTGCAGTATCAACTTCAGGAGCCTTTGCAGACAACACCCTCTCCCTTAGGGAATTTTACTCTTTTTCTCTCAAAGTCTTCTACTGATTGGAAGAGGCCTGTCCACATTATCAAATAAAATCTTTGAGCTGTACTCAAAGGCTGTTGACTTAAATGATAATCTAATCTCATCTAGAAAATGATTTCATAGGATCATCCAGGGTTGTCTGATCAATTACTTGGCTGCTGTGGCCTAGCCAAGTTGACACTTAAAATCACCCATACCCTGGACCATGTTCCTTCCTTTCCTTAAAATATAGGTTACATTTTTTAAACTTCATATCCTCATTCACAGACTCTAAGAGGCACACCCAGAGATAACTCATTGCTTTAAGCTGCACATGCTATGGTTTTAGTGGTACCACAGAGGTCCTGTGTAGGTTTTCTCATTCGTAGATGAGGCTAAAAGGTAGGGTCAGAGGAGGAGGGCTGAGCTGGACCTATTCAAGGGTTTCTACTGTGTCTTCCTCTTTCAACCAGAATAATTTCATTTTTGTCTATTGTATATGTCTCCTACTTAAATTGATGCTAAAATCTATGGAAAATTCTCTTGATCTGCACAAGAGAATTCTTTTGGCCTTCAAGAGACTTCCAACTCAAAGTATAGTCTCACAACTATTAGCATCAGTACCAAAGTCTGGCGATAAAGTAAAACCTTGGGCCCTAGTTCAGACCTACTTAATCTGCGACTACATTCTAACAAGACTCCTAATGAAGTACAAGCATATGCAGGACTAAAGAACTCTTGCCCACAAGCTTTGAGGGGACAGACCAGAACAGTGCTAGATGCACCTTTTTTTCCAAAATGATGGGTTGATTAAGTGAATTGCAGCCTAGAGGAGGAAAAAGGGGACATAGCTATTAGTAGAATATTAATTAAATTGTATTAGCAGAAAATAAAAATCTCTGATCATGTATGTGTTCTTTGTAGGAGAATATGCCTCCTTTCTGGAAACCCTGTCATCTACTGAAATATTTAGCTCTCCAGTTTGATCATTTCAGAAACCAAGTGGTCTAGTGAAAGCATCCAAGTTCTTTGTGTTTATGGGAGAACTCCCTACTCAGATTCTTGCCCAGTAAACAAAATCATTTGGCCAGAATAAGCAGGCTCCCTTGTGAGGTCCCTTTGGTGCAGATAAAAACTGAATGATATATTTAACTGCAGGTACATTCAAACTGAAATAAAAAATCCCCTCCTGTGAACTCTTAGGCCACTTGTGCTGTCCTTTCTGCAAAGATGTGAGAAATTCTGAGCAGACGAGGAGTTGAGAACTTAATTTGCTGCTATGCTAAACTGCTAGCACTGAGGCTGTCATAGGGGAGAAGAGAAAACGAGTGAAGAAATCTTTGATCCTCAGTTCAGCCAACTTCTTCCGGAAAGTTGAATGGAAGATCAAACATGCACAGCAGTGCAGGCTCTGGGCTCTGTCCAGGGCTATTGGAATCCAATACTCCAATAAGCATCCAACTTTGACAGAAGTCAACCCAGGAAGCTTGCCAAGGAAAGGCTTGACTAAGAAGAGGTCTGAAGCTGTGACAAATGAGGGGGAGAGAGAGAGTTGCAAATATCCTTGAGTTGTCTTCTTTGGAATCCTTGTCCTGTGACTGTCCTGTGACATAGCCAGCTTTTCTTACAAAACCCCAAAGAGGCAAAGTTGAAGCTGAAAAATCAACTGCATTTCTAGGCTCAATTAAAAGTTCAAGGGCTTGGCGTTGGTCATTCTGTGCTAAGAATTTACACAACCTCAGCCCGTGGAGGGGATTTATTGTCCAAAACACACTGACATGTCAGATCACTCCAATACTTCTTTCCAGATCATATATGAGACTCACCACAAAGACCCTCTCATCTACAGTTACAAAGCACTTTCACATTCATTGTGTCATTTGTCCTGAAGAGGAGTCTGTGTGTTCCAGGATTCAAGTCTGACTGCCCACGGCTCCCTCATCCCATTTCACTCCAAGAAACCTGGTCAAAAGTGATACACAGGACAATTTGATCAAAGTTCAGCAAGTCCACAAGGGTGGTCACTTATAGCTACTACAGATGCAAAACCTCATTACATCACTGGAATACAGCCAACCACACTGGTATTTGCCAAGACGCACAGCAAGTAGGCAGGCAACACCTCTCATCACTGTGTGAATTTTCAGATGGAAGCCAGTGTACTTTGGTTTACTCAGACTCATTGCAAACAGCAGATGCTACCTAAAAGCTATACCTTGAGACATGCTCTGTCCTCACAGGCTTGGTCCTGAACCACACTTTTCAGCAAACTACAGCTCTCTAATGTCCTAACCACCTGTTGCGACATTGATTCTCACCTTGTTCCTCTCCCCCTGAAACTCTTCCCTTCTCCCTACCAAATATGCCTTTAAAACCCCAACCTCTTATCAACAGCAACCATTACCTAGCCATGTACTTTAGTATCATTCTGTTCTGATTCAACCTGACACTGTGCACCAAAGGATGAGCATACCAGTCTTTTGTGATGGGGGAGTAGGAAGGACAAATATCATGAGTTCCATAAATCTGCTTGGTATGATCCACTCCAGAACCACCAACTAAAGAAAGCCACAACCTGGAGAAAAGAGACAAGCAGAAACCAGTGGTTTCTGAGGCTATCAAATGTGGTAACCTATTTAATGTGTAGGTGGTTTGCCTCCCATTGGATGAGTTGATACAAGTAATATTTAGGGATAATGAAATATTGTCACAGCCCTTAAGAGGCTTAAAACGCATGAGAGAAGAACATGTATTCATTATGCAATTGCAGACCTGGGGTAGTAGTTGTGACAGTGCTTTCAGACCATGCTGCTTACAGTGCTACCACACTGATCAACTATTCACATTGGAGGAAGCTAACAAAATCCTCTGACAGAGGACTAATATCTAAAATTTACAAAGAACTTCAAAAAATAAGATAGCCCCAAATAAGCAACCCAATAAAAACAGACAATTGAAATGGACAGACACTTCTCAGAAGTACAAATGGCCAATAAGTACATGAAAAAATACTCAACATCTCTGGTCATTAGAGAAATGCAAATTAAAACAGCACTGCAATTCCATCTTACTCTAGAAAGAATGGCTATCACACACAAAACAATAATAATAACACATGATGGTGAGGCTGTGGGAGCAAGGGGAGGAACCCTTCTAAATGGCTAGTGGGAATGTAAACTAGTACAACAACTATGGAAAGAAGTACGAAGATTATTCAGAAAAATGAAAACTAGAAAATTCCATTTAACCAAGCTATTCCCTTTCTAAATATCTCCCCCAAAGAGTTAAAAGCATCAGATCACAGTGATACATGCATATCCATGTTTATAGCAGCATAATTTATAATAGCCTGTGTGTTCATTAATAGATACCTGTATGTCCATTAATAAGTGAATAAATGAATACATAAAGAAAATGTGGTATTTGTATACAATGGAGTACTACTCACCCATAAAGAAAGATAAAATTCATGATCATCTCTACAAATGGTCAAGATTTTATCATTTTACAGTGAGGGTGTCCAGCCCCATCAGGGCCCCACTTCTGTCACAGGAAGGGCTCCCTAATAAGAAACAGGGCCTACACCACTGCTGCAGAGCAGGCAGCTTGAGGTAATTGGATTCGAGGCTTGTCATTTTACAGATTTGGAAGCTGAAGCACAACTAGGGATTCGCCTGATTATTAATCATTGAGTCACTCCAGAGATAATATCGTACAATCTTTATTATCTGCTTAAATTACTCTGAATATGTGGCTGAGGGTTAGTCACGCCAATAGTTTTCTCACCCATGCAACAAGGGTAACAATCTCATCTCTAAGAGTTTAAATTAGAAGTAAAATGTTGGTATTTATACTAAGTTTTAAACTTTGTTGTAAGTCTTAACCTGCCATAAGCAAAACAGAGGTAGGAAAAACAGAGAACTCGCTTATGTTCTACCTACTATTAAAAGTCTAGATTGTTTAGAAGTGGGCAGCCCAAAAGATTACAAAGTCTTGCCATAAACTTTTCTGCAACAGCACAAGAAATCAGAGTTGGGAAACCTCCCTCTTCTACCAGGTGATGAATGGGAAGACATCTCAGAATTAAGGCGGTGGTTGCCAGGTCTTATCGTGCCTCTCCCTGCCCACACAAAGAGGCTGACTCTGGGTACACATTCAGAAGACAGAACTGGTGGGAAGGACCAGAATATTCCGTTTATAGAAACGTAAGCTTTGAGTCAAGTTGATACGGGAGCTCACGCTTAGTCTCTTGGCAAGAACCTCTGGAGAGTCAGTTGAGAGTTCACATTTTACCTTAGCTTTCTCCAGGAGGTATAGCCATAACTACTGGTGTGATGGCCCTGCACTATACCCTACCCTGGAATGACTGAGATTAGCATTACTGTCAGGAGTGTCCATTTTCATGGCAACCTGGTACCTAGAATGTACTGCACATCCACTGTGTACCAGGCCCTATGTAATAAGCATGGCACATACACATTTTCATTCATCGAATGTACACATTGACCTGTGAGAAAACCACTATTTCCCCATATTTCACATCAAGCTCAGAAAGTTGACTTGCTTGAGGTCATGCAGCCAGAAAGAAGAGCTGTGGTTTAGAACCAAACTTCTCTGACTTCTAATCCTATCTAACCCTGTCTGCTTCTTTCTGCCTTGAGTCTGCTCCCGTAACTGACTCTCTCTGGCTCCATACTCCCCTTTGGACTTAGCTGATCTCAGGAGGCAGAAAGGAGAGATGTCTTTAACTTAACCTCACATGCCACAGTGATTGAATTCTTTCTGCACATCGGGTGTCACTCCTTACCAAAGATCCACAAGAAACTTGGAAAGATGAGGCTGAATTAAAATCCTGTATTTGCACCTCACTGTGCTGGTGCATACCTGTAATGCTAGCACAGAAGGAGGCTGAGGCAGGCGGATTGAAAGTTGAAGTCTGGCCTTAATGAGATTTTGTCTCAAAATTTAAAAATAAATAAACAAAGGATTGGAAATGTAGCTCAGTGATAGAGCTACAATTGGGTTTGAATCCTATTCCAAAAAAATAAAATAAAATAAAAAATAATCCCTGTATCTGCCACATGACTTTGGCCAATGGGATTGGGCCTACATTTTCTTATCTACAGCATGAAATACGAAATCTCAGAAGGTTCTTCAAAAGTTTAAATGAGAAAATGACTCTGGCATACAGAGCCAAAAACAATGATTTTTCTTTCCCTCCTACAAAAGCAAGTACTCTGAGGCAAGTCTGGTTTCTGTCTGAACGTCTTCAATGTCTAAATATAGAACTTTCATTGCCTCTCCACCTTAGAAAATGGGACCGCAATAGTATTTCCCTTATGAGTTTGGTTAATTGTGAGATAAATAAGTGTACATTACTAATATATGTAAGGCACTTAGAATAGCACCTGACACACAGTCGGTTCTATAAAAAGAGTTGGTATATTTATGGTTTCCTTCCTTCCTTCTTCCTTCACCTCCCCAGTTTCTTCTTGTCCCCTGTCCTGAGATGAGGGATGATCTCTTCCTGACAGCACAATCTATTTGGAGCCATCAATTTTCCTTTGGAGCCATCAATTTTCCGACCACTCATCTTCTCTCAGCATCAAAAGAGTTAAGCTCTTTTTCAAACCCGAATGCCTCAGCCATATGCCGCCCCTCCCTCTTTTATAGAGGCTACGGCCTTGATCATTTCTTAATGTAACTACTTCAGGAAATTTGTCGCGCTAATAATGTTAATATGCCTTATTTCTACACTGCTCACGCCCTGAGCTCTCAATCACTTCAAAACACAGTGATTGAAATTTTTCAAAAGTCTTTGATTTGGAAGTTGTTATGTAGAACACTAGTCAAGTATAAATATGGCAGAGTGATTTAAGGCGGTTGGAGCAATCCAAATGTTTAAGCTTGTTTCAAATAATTATCAATCTTTCTGCTCTGCATTTTCAACACCCCCCTTCATTTCAAAGAGTGGCCCTTGGTGAGGCCTGGAGCACGTTGTTGAGGCAGCCGAGGGCTCTCTGTTCCCCACACTGTGTTGCCTTGTTATAACTACGTTATTAAATCCTTAATGGCTCATGCTGTTCCTGGGGTCAGACTCAAGCCATAAAGAGAACTGGATACCTGAAATCAAAAGCTTACTTAACATCTCCATCAGTCCAGACAGAGTCCTGCCAAGTCGTAGCTCTGGGAGTGTGAGCAAAGGGGACAGTGCCCTCTGACGGCCTCACCCTGGTCAGTTCAGATGCCCACTCTGATGTGAGGCTCTGGCTGAATATCTGCCTGGAAGTCACGCTCTCCAGGAGACCTGGATGAACCCTTTATGCTGTGGAACACTTCTTCTTTTCCCATTCCTTAGCCTCTCAGTTCTGTGACTTATCTTACTCCATCCAGCCACTCCCACTTCTGCTTGGGTCTGGACCAGATTCTCCCAGGGGTTACTTGGTAGTGCTTTCTTTGCATAGGTGCACGCCATATCTCTCCCTCTTCCTGCCCTAAGGCTTCTGCAACTTGAAGATGAGAAGCATCTGTGTGGACGGGGGAAAATGCAGGCCAGGAAGTAAGCAGAGGACCACATCTGACCAATGGAAGAAGATGGTAGCTAAGCATGTTTTGCTCTCATACTTCTGGTTGGTAGTTCTAAGATACAGCTCATGAGTTTCCTCATTTCATGAGACTCACCCCTGAAGGATGAGTACCCATTGCTCACATGTCACAGTGGCTTGTCCCTTAGCACATCCTTGCTTAGCTTACCTTCCTCTATTATTTCTTCTCTCAAATCTCACAGCACACTCCCTGGCACCTTCCTAAATGAACTACTTGCACAGAACTGCCTTTGCCTCAGACTCGGTTTCCAGGGGAACTCAGAAATCACTAGCATCCGGGCCCCCACAAACTGACTTGGAAAGACCAGAGAACATGTATTCCAAAAGGAACAAAGCTAGGGGCACCTTCGCTCAGCAGGGCAAGGTGACCTCATTGCCTGAGCACAGAATGACCAGAGACGGGGCAGAGCCACCTCAACACAAAGGATCTGCTTGACACATTTGTTTTCTGCACTAAAGAACCAGTGAACAGGATGACTTCAAAGAAATCAGTGCAGATGACACAGTAGCCACAGCACAGAGGCGCAGGGGGCTGAGCACAATAAGGCTGAGAAACACTGTCTTGTAAGCAGAAGCTTCAGGTACAGACAGCAGATGCCTCCTTGGAAATGAGCCAAGGCCCAGGATTTGCTTAGCATGAGGGAATGGAAGCCCTGCTGTCTGGGGTGGGGACTGGTAGCTTCATGCCATTGCTCCCCTGCACCCCAGGTCACTCCAACACTTACCCTCACTTGTCCTTGTGGAGAGCACGTGGAGAAGTGCCTGAGGACTCTGTTTCTCTGAAGCTGTGGGACTTGGGTGATTCACGAGAACTGTCTGAGAAACTTTCCTCCTGTATTAACGGGAAAAGATAAAACTCATGATAGTGGAACTCAACTTCCCTACAGAACTGTCAACTCTCCTAGACTGTGTGTGATGATACCCTTCCAAAAAAATAGATGTTTCACAAAGGCTAACGGGAATGTAAATCTATCATTGTTATCATCATTGTAACTATTATTAAATTATATTGGCATAGCTTTTGTTTTACAATGCATTTTCACTTGATCCTGTCAAAAATCAACCTGGCAAGTTGCATCGTTACCTGCATTCTGCAGAAGAGGGAGCTGCCACTCAGCCAGTACACTGCCCCAAGTCACTCAGGCGATGAGTAGGCACCTGGGGCACAAATCAGGACTTCTGGCTCCATATCCCTTGCTGTATTCCCTCCCAAATAGGTTAGAAAGGGGAGCTGGGCACTATGGCTCCATGTTTTCCCAACTTTAATTGGAGTAATACAGGGAGATAAGGGCGCCACTTAAGAAAGCTGAAATCATAGTGGCTTGTCTCCCTCTTCCCCAGGGCCATGCTCAGGTAGCTCTCAAATGGTGCTGTCCGATAGAGAAGCATCTCAGACCTTATTTAAGTAATGACACATGACAGGCTGTGTGTTTCTGGGACATTACTATATGCCTGGGGTGGTGATGGGAAGCTGAGGCTGAGGACATTTCTTTGAGCTTCGCTTTGTCTATTATTAAATATCGTGTACAAATCAAATGGTGTAGAGTTAGTCAAAGAGGCAGAAAGCCACTTAGAAGGCCAGGCTGGCAAGCTGTGACATCACCACCAGCCAATCCCACCGCTCCTCTTTCTTACCAAATCCCCAAGTGATTCGGTCATTTGAGACTTAAGGAGTATTTAGGGTCAGTCATCTCAGGGTTCTGAAATCGTCGGGGTCTGTGAAACTGGAAGGTCAATTGACCCATGCTGGCCAACTCATCAGAGCAGTGTGACCTAAGGGGACCCGGATTTAGAGGGCAGTAAGAAAGGGCCTCCTAGCAAACACACACTTGCCGTTGGGTAATCACTGGATTTGCACGTCTCCAGGTCCTGCGGGTTGTGGTTGTGGTTTTACACTCTATTTGGGGGATAGGCATCTTCTTTCTGCCAGGTTAAATGACTAGCAGGCATGAAGACGGCCGCCGGGATGATCAGAAACAGACCTCTAGACTGATTTGCAACTGGATCCCTGAGCTCTGATGTTCCAGCCAAGGTTAGGCAAATCCAGGCCACACGCCTGGGCTCTGTGGAGTATTCTCGTGTGCAGCAAGCAGGCAGTGATTAGGAACAGTAATATTTTCCAGACTACCCTCAAGGAACTGACAATCTGGACAAAGGTATACAACAAATATATGGAGAAAAGTCCAATGCGGGGCCAATTAAAAACAAAGAAAAAACAAGACCAAGTCATACTTACCTGAGTGTGTGGCACCTTCCTTGCAGAGTTAGAATAAGAATTAAGGTATGCAATTATTATTTAAGCCACCGAGCACTGTTCAGGCACAGTGAAGGATGTGCTCACACATCTGACAGCAGTCACAGAAACTAATCTAAGACTTTCTTGATATTTTTAGGGGGAGAGTGATCATGAATATTACTAGCTTCTTTCTCCTGTTCCAAATCTCCACTACCAGTGAGTGGAACTAGACTTAGGCTTCAGAGAGACTCCATCTGTTGATCTTCTGCTTATGTCTGCCTGGTATACTAAGTTGAGTAAGGATTGTGAACCTTCATCTGGACTCAGTGAGGAAGTGCCAGGATCAGTTAGTGATGTCTTCCACAGAAGGTTAAGAAATAGTGACACGTGCATATTTCTTTTGCTGCCTATGGCCTGGACTCTCATTTTTTCATTCCATGGGACAGCTTCCTGTCATCCAATCTCTAGCTATTCTGTTCCTGCCACCAAAGCAGTCTCCTTCTAAAATAGAAAACCATGACATCCATGTGCTAAAGTCATTCCGAGGTTTAATTCTTTTGCCAAATCCCAAACAGAGGCCACACTGATTTCATTCCTATCCTGCTAAATCACCCTGGCTGAGAAGCCCCAACCTTACCAGCTGCCCGCCAAACACACCCTGAGCAACTCACCAGCCTAAAGCTACTACAACCCTCGGTCCCTAATGAATTTATCTGCACTCCTGTGACATCTTCCTATACTCCCTTCATTTACCACTGATCTCTTCTTCTTTGTCCCCACAGCACACCACATAGATACCTATCATAGCTTTTATTGTACATAAAAGCATTTATTTGCTCATTTACCTCCCTCACTAGAGTTGAACTGTATAACACAGGAATAGTGTCATTTGTGCACATCTTTGATTCATACTCAGTATGGTTTCTTACATGAATACACTCAATAAGTATCTGAAGAATAAAGAGTTGTAAAATATACTGAATTGATCTGCCATGCATGGATCCCTTTGTGCAAGGCTTCTTCTTCAGAATCACTGCTCTTGGATCTGATTGGGAGTAGGAAGGGTACAGACCTAAAGCAGCCATTCTGTGTGCCAGATAGCACCTCCACAAAGTACTCTGATGAACAGCAGTAATGTGCATTTAGTCATGAACAAATCATGTCTTCTCTCTTAAATATCTGAACATGAGATAGAAAAAATTATAATTAATAGTAAATGCAGACCGTCAAAGGTGCAAGAAGTCCAGCTTAGTCACCATGAGATGTCAGAGGCTATAGTAAATAGAAGTGAGTATAACAAGGGGGACATCCCCATGGAGTAGGGACCAGGAAGATTGATTGGTAGGAACAAGGGAGTGACACAGTGAACTTTGATGCCTGTGAGACAGTCTCTAGGACTCTCAGATCCTTAGCAACCTTCTGGTTTCCATAATATATTCCAGCTGAATGTTCATATACTATACGTGAACAGCTTTTTTGTTTTTCTGATACCGGGGATCAAACTCAGGACCTTGCGCTTGAGAGGCAGGCAGCAGAACTACTGAGCTAAATCCCCAGCCCCTCAACTGAGTGTGCTAAATCTGGAGGATCTATTTAGGGTGATCTATTTTAAAAGGCAATATATTTGCTTTAATAAATAGTGTGGGTAGCATTCAAAGGCTAGAGCCTTTTCAGTTTAACTATTGAAGTGGCTATTAAAGAACTAAAAGGCTGTTCTTTAGGAGGTAAAGGGCAGCATAGGCTTTGTGAGTACTTCACAAGCTTGAATGGGCACGCAGCTCACCTGCGAATCTTGCTGAAATTCAAGGGGGTGTGACAGGATCTGCAATTCCTCATTTCTAAGGAGCCTCTAGGTGCTGCTGCCGCTGCTGCCTGAGGTCCACACTTTGCGTAGCAAAGCTCTGTGTAATCCCAGGGGACAAAAAAGAGCCCACTGGAGAAAGTTAAAGGGTTCTAGCTGAAGCACGTTGCCTGTTCGCAGCCTGGAGAAAGGACTGTGATGCTTCAGCATCCTGAGAGACCAAGTGGAAGCAGAGCAACAATTTTGAAAATGCTTATTTAGACAGAATCTCTGTTCTGTAAAGCTGGTCATGTTCCGTAGGACAGGTTCTACATAGCGGTCAGCTTCAAACTCTTTTTGTTTACGTACTCACTAAAATATTTTGGACTTCATTTCTAGATTGATACCTAAAATTCAATATCATATGTGTAAATGCCATTTACTTCTTAATAGAAGATAGAAAATATTAGCTACATTACTGTATGGAGCAAAATGAAGACTGAATTATATATATATATGAGCTATGGGTTTTCATGGTGTAAAACTAAGTGCTACTTACAATCAAGACAGGAGAAGAATAAAAAAGTCCTATAAAGGATAAGGTACCTTGGTTGATTAAAAAATAAATAATTAAAGAAATAAAGCTTTTACAAAGACCTCCTTGGACAGCCAAGGGCTGCCTCTGATCCAGGCCAGTTTCTCATCATCCTCATCCCTCTCTAGAATCCTGGATCCTCTCTCTTCATGGTGTCCTGTCTACAAATTAGCACATTTTGGGCTCTTAATTGAAGGCCACAGTGCCTTCAATAGTATCTCTAAATACCATAGAGAGACTATTTTTGCTCCTCAGAATGTCCCATTCATTCCAAATGAAATTTCTCCGGGTGCCCACTCCACCTCCAATGGCAGACCCACCCCAGGCCTCTAAACAGCTGTCTATCATCTACTAGGATGGTGGCGTTGAGCAGTGGCTGGTGTCAAGGGGCGGCAGTGTTGTCCAGCCCTTTGAGCATGAGCAGCATCTTTTCACTGCCCCCTGACATCTCCAGTACTCTTAACCTCCCTTGGGGGCCCTTTGCTTACCCTTGGCGATCACTTTCCCCTCCACATTGGCTTTCTGGACCCGAGCCCCTAGGCTAACACACATACAAATGGAATCTGCCCCATAGTCCTCTCTGCCTCCAGCCTGGGCTCACTGTCAGCCCAGGTCCTCATGGTCTCATGGTCCTACCCACTGGTTCTAACTCAGTCCCTACCTTTGCTCTCACTCCACTCAGTCTTCCCTATAGCTAGGATTTCAGAAAGCTTCTTTCCTGCACTTTGTGGGTTAAGAGAAGAGGCCCGGCCAGCCCAGAGCAGCTTTTCTTCTTCTCCTCTCTGGCCCATTTCTCTAGGTCACAAGTCAGACTAAGGCCCTGTGGCGATGCCCTTGTGATGCAGACAGAGACTAGACTAATAATCTTTGACAAACAAAAAATATCTTTGATTGAGCTTTTTTTTGGAGACACTATAATGCGTCTGCCTGAAGAAAAGTGGTGAGATTGCAGTGTCTGTTTGATGAGCCCATCAGACCAACCCACGGAGCCTGGGAACCACAAAAGTGGCACTGCAGGGTTACAGGAGCCTCAGATATGTTCCTGGATAGAACAAGTGTTACTAAGGGATGACACAGACCAGAGCTCTGAGCAGATCCTGGTCCATCCTTTTCTCAGAGGAAATGCAGGCTACAAAATGGGCCTTAGAGACAGGGTCAAAGCAGCGATGCTCTTTCTGGCTGGCCGCCCTCATCCCAGCCTTCTCACCACAATCTCACTGG